TCAAGTTGCTCACAAAGCAGTTGTGTGGGTCTCCCTTAACCAGCTCCACCAAAGCCTCTCTGCCACATGGCACCCTCTGTTCCACAAACCACAGCCCATGCTTATGAAAGAAACTCCCTCCTCCTCCTATTTTTTAAAGCTTTCAGGCTATTTCTGCCACCTGTGCCCATGCTTATGAAAGAAACTCCCTCCTCCCCTCATTTTTTAAGGCTTTCGGGCTATTTCTGCCACCTGGTGGGACTGGCTTGGTGGTCCTCACCACAAGCCTGTTTCTGAACATCACAATCAATGGGAGTTTTCCAGGGCTTTTAATAGCAGCAAAATGCACTGTAAACCAAGGGGATTAAAAGAGGAGTACAAGGCAAATTGTTCAGAGATTAGCACCTCTAAAAATGTCAGGATTTTAAACCTCATCCCCTAGGTCTATCAAGAGGTCGAAGCAGTGCCGAGGTTACACAGAGCTCTCCCCCTTTTCCATCAGAAGAAAAAGCCCTGCTGATCAACTTGAAAAGTTCATAATTGATCCTAAAGATTTCTCCCCTTCCCACCCAGTTCCCTAAAGGCAAGAGGGTTAGAACCAGGCAGAACAGAGAGCAACCAAGTGTGGCTTCACATTGAGCTGCTTTTCCAGGAGCTTTCTGGGGCAGGCGGTGCCAGTAGCTGGTTCAGGTCCCCCTCTCCCCAAAGCCAGGCTGAAGATAAGGAGGTTCCTTGTGTCAGGAGGACTAATTCTATCATTGCAGCTACTGCTGCGTGATCTCCTGCTCTTCAGGTGTCCAGGTGGTCAGTGCAGCTCCAGTCAGACTCTTTGTTCTCCACCTGCTGGACCAGAGACTCCTCACCCCACCATCTGCCACCAAAGGTCTCCGAGGGGGCCAGGTGTCTCCAGCTCTTCTCCTTGTTCCTCAGCCTTGTCAGGAGGCTCCAAGAATCATAGAATTTTAGAATGTGTTGGGTTGGAAGGGACCTTAAAAGTAATCTAATCATAGAATCATAGAATGTGTTGGGTTGGAAGGGACCTTAGAAGTCCAACTCCCCTGCAGTAAGGAGGGACATCTTTAACCAGATCAGAAGATGGATGCTTTGGCACTTCTGGGGATAGGAGATACCCAAGGAGAACTTGATGTTACAGGTGGGCAAGTGTGGAAAAGGGGAATTTTGGTTGAATGGTAAAAACATTCCTAACTTTCAAAACATTCCGATTTTTAGGTATGATCATAGTGTCATTTGAGCATACTATAGGGAAATTTGCAAAACATTTCAGCCACCATGTCTGTAGAAACACCTTCCACTAAAAGGACCAGATTTCTTTCATTTCCATCTGGCAAATGGCTGTCACTGCTCTTTTCCTGTAACATGCCAACCTTTTCCACAACCTTTCTACAGCTTAGTTGCACTTGGTGTTGCGGAGCCAAGACCAACAGTCAGGCTCTCTAGCTTTCTCCATTTACTTCTCCTTGCTGTCTACATTTTGAATATCCCTGTGTACAATTTTGTCTTTTTTAATACTTCTCATACATAATTATTCTTGACAAACCATGTTTTCCTGTTACTTCCTTCCTGTGCAAGGCTGACCTAATAATTAGCCTCCCACTGGATTGTTTGCTCTCATACCACGTTATTATGGATGGATTAGAGATAATGCATGAAAGTGTATGTAAAAAAATATTCCAAAGTAAATACATTAAGAAAGTGCTAGAAATATATTAGACCCGAGGCATATCTCTGCTCTTAAAGAATTTCCCTTTTTTATCTTGATCAAACTTTCACAAAGGTTTGTGCAAAAGCAGATGCAAAAGCAGATGTGGCCTCTAAAAGTTGGTGTGGACAGCAGTGGTTGGGAAAGATTGGTAAAATAGTGGGGGGAAAGAAATTACTTCAGTTTCTTAGATGCAGGTCAGAAGTTATTACTGCTCTCATTGTACCAGGCTGCTGTGAGATGGTCACCCCCCAGGACTGTTCTTCCTCCAGCTCACCCTGTCTCATTAACATTATCACTGGGAGTGCAGCAGAGGGGCTGACGGGCAAGGGTCACCTCCCTGTCCCCTTTCTTTTTCATGGAGACTACAAGTCTGTTTAGCTCTTAATAAAATAACCCTCAGGCCTCAAAGCAACACAGTAAACCAAATCATATATATATATATAAAAGTGGTACTTATAAAACAAGGATACCTATGTGGGACCCTGAAAAATGCCTTTAGGCAGGTCAGTTTTTGGTTCCAACATGCAGATTAAATGAGTATGGGAGTTTTTGGTATGTTTTAACCTATCACAACTTAATCTTTCCACTACAAACTCTTTCTTTTTGACAAAAATCTATTGCTGATTGCCACTGTGGGGCTTTCCTGAGAAGCCATCCCATCATCCTCTCTTTCACTGTGAATATAGCCCTCAAATGATACTACTTCCACTTTTTAACACCTGCAAAGATGTGGGTGCAGCCTCAGCACTCAGCAAGCAAAGATGAGGAGTTGAATTCATTTAAGAGTGTACACTAACGAGTGGGTTTCAGCCCATCCTGATTTTGCTAATCTGCTCTGCGAGTGATCCGGGAGGAGGACCCTGAAGAGGAAGGGACGTGCTTGGTTCACTACATTTAACTACATGCCACGTTCTCTCTGCTTGGTCGCTACCAAATTTGAAATGAATTTTCTCATTAGTGCCTCAGACAAACCAAGTGGATTAAATAGCAAACATCAGGTTTCTCGTGTCACTCAGCATAAATCAAAAGGGCTTCAGCACTGCAGCTCCTGCCCCGCAGCCACCAGCACAGAGGCACTGGTGACTGAAGCCAGCCAGTTTAGCTGCTCTTAAAGATCTGCTTTCAATAGAAGTTCAAACTCAAACTCTCCCTTTTTTATTGCTGCTTTTCTGAAAAATGTAGGATGTGGAACAACTGAAGTTGAAAAGACACAAAAGAGCAGGAGGAGTGTTAGAAAATGCCCACAGAGATGGGACCTGATATCTCAGCTGCAGAAATGCGAGACAGAAAGATTTTTAATCAATTCATTGGAAGAAGTTGGTTCAAAACAGGTCCTAAGCTTCGGCTATTTAGTGGCCTTCACGAGTGGAGCTGGAATAATAATAAGGCAAAAATTGTCAAATTATAAAACGTAAAGATGTATGTAAAAGGTATTTTAATACCACTTTCACTTTTGCATCATTTGAGTTGCTGCCTCTTCACACCTACACAGACACTCAGCAGAGAGAAAAAAATGGCATCTATGAGAATCAGATGGGAAATTGCTCCTTACTGGGATGTACAACATTTTTTTTTTATTTTCTGCTAAAAGAATCACATTGCTAAGAAGCAGAAACATTTTTGCCCTTTAAAGTTTGCCAATCAACCCAGGAAAACAGAGAGACAGAAACCCAGCAGCTAATAAACCAGGAAACATGGTCACTGTGGCTCATGTGCCACCTACTCAAAGCTGGCGCGGAGCTGAGCTCAGGAAATGCACTAAACAATTTAGCTCCTGGCTTTTTGCAAATGTCTGCCACCAGACTGTGGTTTCCTCAAAAGCCTTTCTTCTTTGAACTTGCCTTAAGTAATTTTCTCAGAGCTTTTTTTTGTTTTGTTTTTTTTAAAAAAATGCTGTGGATTGATTTCAAGCAGTTTGGTATGAGCATGAAAATCTCATCTTGAGAAAGTGAGGCTGTTACCGAGGGCTCGTCCTTCACCTAAGGTTGATGCTCTTTCTTTTCTTAGAAACTCAGAGAATAAATTCCTCCCACAAGCAGGACGAACACTTGAAGAGAAAAAGCCTGTGAGATAAACACTGCAGGCAGTCCATCCCAGGCTGAGCACATTTTATAAAACAAGGAAATATTTCCTTGCAGGGGAACACAGATCTTGCCTGAGGCATGTCTCTTCAAAAATATGAAAAATAACGCAAATGGTTTGTGACTTTGCAAGCCCAAGCCTGGCAAAGTCCCTACCACTTTGTGTGCCAGTGTCCTCATGTGTGTTGTGGTTTTCCTTACCCCATCCTTTCGCTGTGACAAACGGTGCCCCATCCTTCCCAAAAGGCATTGCTTGGCTGAGCCAACCAGCCCAAGCCACCATAAATAACATCCCACCAAAAGCTGTCGGGAGGGGAACCCCAAACAGGCACGAGTTATTCCAAACAAACTCCTTTCTAAATTCAGGCACAGGCTCCAGGAACAGCCCGTGGTTCTCCTCCAGCTCCAGACCTGCACAGTAATGTACTTACTAATGATGAGTGGATTGACATTTATATATGGTTTAAACATGTGTCATTAGTGTCATTTAAACACAGAAGATACCAGAGCGTGTCATTGCTGGGCCGACAAGCGCTGGGACACTGGGGGTGCTCTTTGCACCATCTCAGGTACTCACAGAATCTCGGTGGTTGGAAGGGACCTCTGAGATCATCAAGTCCAACCACATAGCAAAAAAAACCCAAAGAAAAACAAAAAAAAAACCAACCACCAAACAAACAAACAAACCACACAACAAACATCACACCACACAACACCCACTTACCAAGCCCCATACCAACAGCACCACATACAACACCCCACCACACCCCAATAATCTCGGGCACTAGAGCATGCCCTGAAGAGCCACATCTACACGTTTCTTAAATACCTCCAGGGATGGTGACTCCACCCCCTCCCTGGGCAGGCTGTTCCAGTGCCTGACCCCTCTCTCAGGAAAGTAATTCTTCCTAATATCTAAGCTAAACCTCCTCTACCCCAACTTCAGGCCATTTCCTCTGCTCCTGTCATTATTCCCTTGGGAGAAGAGGCCAACCCCCACCTCTCTACACCCTCCTTTCAGATAGGTGTAGAGGGCAATGAGGTCTCCCCTCAGCCTCCTCTTCTCCAAACTAAACATGCCCAGTTCCCTCAGTCTGTCTTCATAGGACTTGTTCGCCAGATTCCTACCCAGCTTGGTGGCTCTTCTCTGGACACGCTCCAGCAGCTCAATGTCCTTCCTGTAGCCAGAGGTGAGTGTGTACACAGTGTATACTCACCTCTCCCGCTCCTGTTCCAAGAGGTTGGTGAAGTCGTCGCTCTTGTTCATGTAATCCGTGTGTTTATGTTTCTCATTTTCTAGCTCGTAAACGGTGCGGCGATGGCACTTTTCTGCCAACAGGAGCTGTTCCAGCATGCGCCGGTACGTCTCTCTCTGCTTTTCTTCAAGTCTGTCCAGCTGGATTGTAGGAAAGGAGAATAGACTGTTTCAAAGGTCTCTTTGCTTACTTCATCTGATTTATTAACCAACAATGTTGTGTTTGGTAAATGCGAGTCCCATAATTTCATGTCTTGGGCTTTACATAAAGCAGCAACTAGAAATAGGAGTAACTGTCCCGTAAAAGTAATGATTTCTTTGGACGGCGTGTTTGCAATAAACATGTGTGTGGTTCTCAGACACACAGAGACTTTCACTCAGTTTTAGGGTAACAAATAATGTTGGTGCAGTGCAGAATTTCCCCCATGGCGAGGTGCTGTTCACACTTTCCTCATTTCACACAGGAAAAGCGGTAGTGAACACCAGGGCAGATGCCCTCAGACCCCGAGAGCCTGAATTCACACACATCCATGGGGCCTGGACACCTAGACGTGGAGTGTAAGGTGTAGGATCAAGGCTGAAACTGGAGCTCTGCACCTTCAATGCACCCGTAGTACCGCTGAGCTAAAAATTAGGTTTAATATGCCAATTATTATTCAAACAAACTCTAAGGCCAGGGATGTGCACCTAAACAGTGGCCAGGACACACCAAAGCCACCACAGCTATTTGTGTTGCTCCTTTCACTGTTCCTGGGGGGCAGATGACAAACTCCATCCTCCTCCCCACCGAAGTGGCCCTCGTTCCTGGTGCTTCTCTGCTCTGCCCACCCGCAGCCCCTGCCTCCTGGGAATCACATCTTTCTCTGCCCCAGCTGTAGAGTTGCTGTTTCCTGTAGTGCCTCCATAAACAGAAGGCAATAAGAGAGCAGGAGGACCATGGCAATTTGCCCTCCAGAAGTTGACCATGGTAGTCAAAGTATTTTTTAGTAGTGGTAGGCACTGTGTTTTTTTAGAGGACAAAGGTTGGATTCAGCCTTTGAGAGCAGATCCTTTGCACTTGCAAAATTTTGTCATCATCCTATTTTAGCTCCAACATAACCCCTGTAGACCTACACATGACAAAAGTTTTACACAGAGGTCCCCATCAAATTATCAGCTTCTTTAGACAAAAAGCCAGGATGAGCTCTTTTCATGTTGCTAAACAGTATTTCCTGCATGCTCCACACATGCTATCATTTGCTTTCCTTATTTACTATCATCCCAAAAATTCCAGAAGATGCTTCACTGAGAGTAAACAGTATAAAGTAAAAAGTATAAAAGTATATAATTCTGGTAGACAGAATTCCTGATGAAAAAATTAAATGTTCTACTAGGACAAACTATGAAGATTTGGACAGGCACTACAGTATATTATATTGTACATTGTTCCATGTTCTTTCTCTGTGCCCTGGGCTGTTAGGAAACTATAAACATGAGCAGTGGCTGCTTATTCTGGCATTCACACTGGCCTCAGATATTCCCAGGTCTATTTTACATTCATTTATTTTAAAGCAAGGGATCAAGTCCACAAGTCTCCTTTAGGGGATGAACTGACTGTGCAGTCCTACAGCTTAAGTGACGTAAAATGATTATGGATTTATGATCCCATAAATATGCTCAAAGTCAATCTCTGAAGGTCTTCTTTGCCTCACTACACACATGATACTGCTCCAGTGCACAAAGAAAATCAGAGGGTGCTTACCAGTGCTGCCTGAAGTAGAAGTTGGTGCCTATAATTGAAAGGAATTTAAAAAACAGAAATGTAACACCCAAAGATTTTGGTCTCACTTAATGGCACCGGCCCTAAGGAGCACAAAACTTCTTTACTGTTTGTGTTCAAACCCAGTGATTTTGCTTACAATTTGTCCTGTGGTTGAGTGAACAGGAATATTCAATTCTTCTTCATTTCTTGTCATTTGTACCAGCGCTATATTATCCCCTTGTGTGTTTTGCACACATGCCAAGGATGTGGAGTCTCACTTCTGGTTAGGATTCCCCCTGCACAGACGTAATGAAGTAAACTGAGCAGTTATTACCTCTGATATTGGTTTCTCGTAGACGTCTTCCCCTATAGACTTTTCCTGGGCAAGGATGGCGTCCCTGTGTAGCACTCGGAGCACGTTCTCTGGAGCTGCCGACCCATAATGAGCTTCTAAAACTTCAGGTTTGGTTTTCTCTGTCTTCAGCATGTGGATCACATCCTCCCTGGCCTGTAACAGAGCAGATCAGTACCATCAGCCAAGCTACTAACCAACAGGGGAAAACAATTAGGACAGGGGCATTTCATATGTACAGATTGCATACACAAAAATAAAATAAATGAGAAGAATGCCAGGCTGCCAATGTAAATATAAAACAACTTTGGGAGACAATGAGAGTAAACATGATCTGTGCTATCCAATGTCATCTTTGTGGGCATTAATTAATCTATTCCTGCCTGTCACTACATCATTTGGATGCTATGAATTTTTATGTGGGTTGCATCTGTAGCCAGGGAACATCATTACTCTTCATACCCTTCATCTTCTTCACTGCCCATGCTGCTCCCTGGCCGGGGTAGGAACGTGAGTGGGACAAGCACCATGAATGTTCTGAATTGATATTTCTCAGATCACCTCCAATCAAGTATTTCCTTGTCGTTCCCTGTCTGACTTTGTGACTAAATGTTCTCTTCAAGTCACTCTTAAAGTTTTCTAACTTTTGGTTGTTTAAACAAAACCCTGGAAGTGTTGCAGACCCCAGCTAACCGGCGAAACTGGCAGCACTGGCTGGCTGGTGGGACCACCGGGCTAGGAGGAAGGGGCATTTTAGGGCCATGCTGCAGACAAAGGCTTAATCCCAAACTCTGTTCCTGATGACACTTGCCAATATCTGTTAAACCATCTGTAAAACAGGGGCAGGGCACCCACTTGTCCTTCAGGACGGGTTTATAAGGCCGTGATCCACGGAAGGGGCTGTAAAAGGTACAAGTTTTCAGTGGGAATGAGGGAGCTCCCAGATTTTCCCATCTCTCCCACAAGCCCAAAGGGATGGAGGGCAGAAGGGTACAGGCACCAATTCTTCTCTCACCTGCTTTTCTGACACTCAACCCGTGTGAGCTTGGGAAGCAAAATAAGGGCTAAGGAAAGGTTCAGACAGTTGAGGAAAAAGCCCTTACAAATATTGCCCCTATGGAAGCAATGACTGTTAAGGATTTATGGATTGACCAATGCTTCATGCTTTTCCACAACCTTCCTAATGGCATAGTGGCATAATGGCATTCTGTATTATCCCTGTAGCAAATCTCAAATCTTTACCCAAGGCCACAGAGGCACCGCAGCTCTACAAACCCACCTGCTTTTAAAATGAGCAAGGAAATAATTTCAGAAGATGACAAAAACCCTTTAATCCTTTTTTTTTTTAAATAAAATAGAGTAACTTGAAAATAAAACAGAAAATGAACTTCAAGCAAAGATTATGCCACCCAATTGAGAACTAGTCCATTTATAAACAGCTACTTGAAGTTGAACGCTGCTCTTCCCAGCGAGTGCCCCAGCCCCTGCCCCGTTGTCCACAGCCGTGCATACTTTCCTTCCAGCCTCATTAGTGTTTAATCATGGAGCAACTCTAGCAAGAGGGAATCAGGGTCCCTGAAACAGCTTCTAACTTGCCAGCTAAGAAAGGTTCTGGAAGCTGTTGGTTTGGGTCCCCCGAGAACCAGAGGGAGCAGAGCCAGGGGACCGAGTGACGCCGAATGGAGGAACCAGCACCCCGAGCAGGGAAGAAGGTCCCCAAGCTCAGTTCAGAGCTTTGAAGAAGACCCTTGTTCACGGTTTTGTCTTTAGAAGGAAGCAGTGACATGCTTAGCTCCAGGGATCAGACCCAAAATCCCCTTGCTGCAGCCCAAGGGGACAGTACCCAAGGTGGCACCATCCCCGGGGCACAGGCAGGTCCTCGCTCGTGTCCCCCCTCCTTGGGCACCCCAGGCTCTGCAGGAGCTCGGGATCTGGGTCACGTTAGCATGGTGAGGTGTCTTCTGCCTTTTCTGGGCTCGGCCACCGCTCCTCTCGTTATCTTTTCAAGGGTACCGGCTAATTCACTGAGTGCTCTGTTTCCATGGACTTATGATAACAGTTTGTGAAAAGCAAACCAACAAACAGTCACTCGGGTTGCTAGGAAGCGTTGGGCCAAAAAAGGGGCCTCGTGCTAATAATAAACTGAAGAGAAATTTGCTTTTTATTTGGTCAGCAATAATCCCCAGCACAGGAAGACTCTGAAGTACAGTGAGCCCAGGTCGGAGAGGGGCCCAGGCCACATCCTGACCTCCCGTCAGACTCAGGATTTGCAAACTCCAGTTAGTCTCTCTGAAAATCCTTAGGATAAACGTAGAGGGAAGGAGCTGAAACAGCAAGCTGGTGTGACTCCTCCTTTCATGTTTCCTCCAGATGCCCGAAACAACAACCAGAAGCGAGCTCACATGGAGATGTTTTCTTCCAACGTATACTGCACAACTATTGAGATATCAAACTTCAGGTAGCAAGTCAGAATAATCCTGTGGAGGAACACTTGGGCCTCTTCGATTCCTGTGCCTCGGAAGAGGTACAAGAGGCTCAAAGTGGGGGGTCCTTGCTAAGAAGAGGGACCCATACTGGGAAGCTGTTTCTGCTGACGGACATCTACTGTAGGTGCCTCCCTCGTCTCGAAGCACAATGCTGTTTAGCATAAATCATAAGCTGGGAGACAAACACAAGGAAGAGATTTCAAAGTGGAAGTAAACTTGTCTATAAATCTCAGAGGGAAGTTGTTAGCTGTTTTGGTAGAATAGACATAGTGTTTGGCACAGGAAAGCCATCTTTCAAGCCCCTCTTTTTGTTGTTTTGTTTTGTTGGTGCTCTGATGTGAGAGAATATTCAGGCATGAGAAGACCACATATTGCAACAGCTTGTAACACAATGAAAGTCATTTGCGTAAGTCCAGAAGACTGCAATTAGTCAGAGAAGTTCTTTAAAGTCAAGACACAGAATTTGGAAAACACATACATTTACTTTTATTGTTTTGTCATTACTTAGATGGCCCTACAGAAAAATCCAAGCTAACTTTTTGTCTATACTGTTCATACTGTGGATTCTTGAAAATTAAAGGACTTTTCTGTTAATAAAATGCTCCTAAGTACCTGAATCTCTAAAAGTAGAAGCAATGAAGAAGTCATGTTTACTTCTTAGAAATACTCTCAAGGCAAGAAACACAGAAGGCCAGATAGTTGAGTGGTGTTTTTCCACACTGGTTTTCTCCGGGAGCAAAGCACAAACTCCCTGTCCATCAAACTCCTAGAATCATAGAACAGCCCACGTTGGAAGGGACCTCAAAGGATCATCTGGTCCAGCTTTTTGTGGGAAAGGAAGTCTCAATGAGATCATCCAGCACCCGGTCCTTGAAAACTTCCAGTGATGGGGATCTACCACATCCATGGGGAGGCTGTTCCAGTGATTGATCGTTCCCACTGTAAAAAATTGCTTTCTTATATCAGGATGAAACCTCTCCTAGTGCAACATGTACCCCATTGCCCCTTGTCTTCTCCATGTGGCTCCTTGTGAAGCGAGAGCCTCTGTCTTCTTTGTAGCCACCCTTTAAGTACTGGAATACTGTGATGATGTCCTCCCCAGCCTTCTCTTCTCCAGGGACAAAAGACTTAATTCCTTCATCTTTCCTCATAGGGCTGGTTCTCTGTCCCTTTGATCACCTTCATGGCCTTCCTTTGGACCTTCTCCAACCTGTCTGCATCTTTGTAGAATTGTGGAGAGTAGAACTGGACACCGTACTCGGTTAACTCCTCCAGGTGTCCCTGCTGATAGAAGAACTGCGAGGTTGAATTGTACCTGAGCCTCGTTTTATGCTTACTGGAGGTGCCAAATTCTAAAGGCTGATGTCCTCAGACCTTGAGTATGTCCATGGAGGGCCTGAAGTGCCATGGGTCACTGCTGTCCTGCACAGCTTTGTCTTTGCTTCCTCTCTACTGCCTAGTGAATAGTGGACTTAAGACATGGACTCTACCACACATTCCATGCATTTCTACCTGGGAAATACAAATTCCCCAAGCCCCTCAGTCGTCCATGCCACCCAGCTGGAAGGCTGACATGAGGCCACTCTTCGTGGGGTTACCCTGAAATACTCACCTTTTGGCAGAATAAAAAAAAAGGAAGGCTTTCTTTCACTCACTGGCTTGAGCAGAGCAGGGGTCTGAGTCCCACTCAGCTTTACTGTGTGCCTAGTAAAATATTTAAATGATATAGAAAGGATGTAAAGAGGTCCCTGCATAAAACTGAAACCATTTAGGAAACAATAGCATGATTCTGCTGCTTGTAAAAGGGGACCGGCAGCCTAGCAACCGAATTCTTGGTCAATGGAAATACTGTTACACAAGCCCGGCGTTCGAACGTGCTTCCTCCTCGTGCCCTGCCCTGCCAATTTACTACAGCCCTCGCTCCCCATTCCCACAGTCTTTGGCCTCTCCCGTGGGACTGCTCACAAAACGCAGCACCCACCAAACGGGGAATTTTTGCCGCAGCCCCTTTGTCACCTGGGAAATGGGACCGAGCTGCTCAAACTCATTTCATGTAAGGCATCTAGTAAATCGGAAAAAAAAAATTCAATAGTATTCAAGACGGGCTGAATGGAGTCAAAGTAATCACTGTCAGATGAGAGTGAAATCCAATTCAAGATGTTTCGCCAGTGCCTCTCCTAAACTCTTGTATTTTCTTTGTAAGTCGCCTTCCTGCAAATTCACAACGTGCCTCTCTTTAAATCAGATACCAGTAACTATTTCTTTCATAGCTCCATGTCTGGAGTCACCCAAAATACATCTAACTCCTTCAGAGCAATCTAAATACTTCAATGACATGATGACAATCCTCTCAGTTAATTGAAAGAAGTTTTGAAAATTCGGGAGCAGGAGTGGTATTTACAGGAATGCACTTACGTTATATTTGGAAGATCTGATATTTCCAGCTTTTGACTATTTATTTCCAGCTTTTATTTCCTAGTTATCGCGACACTGTTATGCCTGCTCAAGTGAAAGGACCAAGTAATAGAGGTTTAATGTTTATGAAGGCATATTTTTCTTCCCAGTGATTAATGGCAAGAAATAACTATCAAACCACAGGCAGGAACCTTTACTTCTGCTTGTGGTGTTGTTATTTGCCTTTCACACAGTTCAGGTTATTTATAGAGCAGC